TATAGTAAATAATAGGGTTTCCCCAATATAGTAACTTAATTTAAGTTCCTTAAATCCCTATATTCCCCCAGTTTCCATTTCATTTTCCATTTTCTTTTCCATTTGATTCTCCATTATAGGGGGATAATCCCTTAATTTAAGTTCCTTAACAGCAACCCAGGCAACTCCGAGGCCCTGCTTGCATTGCTCGCTAACTGGGTGACGAAGCTTGGCTCTGGCCTTCTCTGCACCGAGAATCTGCACGGTGCTGGATGGATGCTTGGCCAGGCTCATCAGGGACCTCCACTACAAAGCGTGCTTGCCAAATTTTATCCGAAGACATGGTAGTGCATATGCTGCCACTGCAAAAACAAGAATAGCAACAATGACAATGTAATAACTGCAGATTCAAAATTAATAGGAATAGCAGTAGCCATGAGAAGAGCAGATAACAAAAAATATTGACATAAAATGCTACCCAGGAACATGATGATTCACGTTACCCAAAACCACCTTCACTTAAGGTTGGAAGTCTCAGGCTCGGGGACCCTGGGATACCTAGTATATACCCTATACCAGCCCTTGAAAGTCTAATGAAATGGGTGGCTGCTGGCTCTGGGCTCCCAGACCCAGCTTGCGAGATAAGCCTTGCGCCCACGAGTTCCCCGACCATGTAGGTGAGGTTCGGGGCGATGGCGTTCATCCGCAGCTGGGCGCCCAGACTCATTCTGTAGGGTCTAGGGATTTAGGACTTGGGTTCAGGGTTTAGGCTATGGGTTGAGAGGCTAAGAGGGGGATGGTCTGAGTATGCCTTCATGTTTAGTGTCGCGTTGGTCAGACCTACATGCCACACACCCACAGCTGTGCTAGCAATCATGATCCTGGTTCCTGTGCTACAATTGCTGTCGTCAGGTTTATGATCCGCATGCAGCCAAGTCTGCCAAATGCAGCCAAGCAAGGGGATCATTTTGTATTCTGCCCATGCGTTTGGTTCTCAAGGAGAAGAATCATCCGGCCTTCAGGTATTCGGACAAAGATGCCCGATACTCTGTGAGCTCGATCACGCGCTCACTGAGCGTCTTGATGTTGCCCTGATAGAAAATCAGGCTGCAGCTTGGGGCTTGGCATTCCGGGCTATCAATGAACGAAGTAAGTGGTGCGCTAAATGTCACGCGAGCACTTCTGTTGGGGGCTGCCTGTCAGGATAAAAGTAAGGGTACTGCTAGGGGCAAGTCCTACGTTGACCTTTAAGCAGATGTGGTGAAGATGTTTAGCCCAGCACTTGCCAGTCTTCTCGATCCGAGTAAACAGAAACGGCAACTCCCTTGTGAGCAGAGAGTCATCATGGCACGACAATTCCAAGAAGACCACTAGTTGGCCCTCATTCCACAGAAGGTTCGGCTGAGCCGACTCTGAGGGCCAAACCAGATCCTCGTCGGTGATCTCGGTGCCCTGGCGTGCGAAACTGGCCCGTTTCCTGTGTCCGGGTTTGCTACAGACCCTTCCAGGAAAATACTGTCTACTCTCGCAAGAAATGCACCGCAATCCCCGTGTCTCGCAACATCCTTTGGCTCAGAGTGATAGGCCCCATATGAAGCCAAAATATTTATGCAGATGCATCCAAAGGTAGGACGCAATACCGTCAAACTAGCACAGCTGGCCATGGAGGTCTCGGCCGCAGATCTCACCTGTGCAGTCTTTTGCCTTACTTAGCGGCTATTTCATTGGTATCAAACTGGTGGATTTGCTTGGGGTGGTCTCGGAGTGGTTCTCCAAAAAAATCGAGAAACCGTTGAATTTGGCTTCCAGATTCAGGTTTCTAGGGCTTGGGAATTTAGACTTGGAGCATGCTGCCAGGCATGATGTCGTTCTCTGGCTTGACCGAGGAAAGCTTTCTCAACTCTTCATGCTGGATGGTAAGTAGAAGAAAGTAAGATGAAGTCCATAGTGGCAACATGCCAGGCTCTCCGGGCCTTAGGAAACAAAGTCAGGAACAATGGGCTGTTGAGCGGCAGTGGAGGGGCTCAGGAGTTTCCTCACCAAGCCCTCATATGAAAGCCTTCTCCTAGGCTTATCCTTTGCTTGTCCTCGAAATCACCCGTCCTGCTTTCCAACATCAACATGCAGAGTTTTAGCCACGAACATTTCGAGCGACCTCCGCCGCGATCTCATCAGGGACACCGACCTCCGAAAGGTCTGTGTCCTCTTCCGCCCGACAGAGCAAGGGACGTGCACGCATGTTTAGAGCTTTCAGGGCAAAAAGGGTTCAAGTGCTGTAGAGGTTCAGGATTTTAATTTTGATGGTTTCAGATAGATTCTTTGAACATGGCAACAGGGACCAAAATCACCACCATGGGGCATTACATAGAAATCATAGAAAGGACTACGGGGATCCGTTCGCCACTCAGCACCACCGGATCCCCTTATCCTGAGCAAGGCGCGGCAGCCCTGAAACACCCACCCAAGGCCAAGACAATTGAGAAGTAGTCTTGTAACCTGAGGTGCTATAGTGGAAATGGCGTGGTCTGAATTTCATAACTTTGCACTGACGGAAAAGTTCATGCCAAATGGGAAAGTTCTGGGAATTTCTTAGTCAGGGTTCACTCTCGACACCCTTTTGTATCAACGGAGCATGCTCGGAGGTCCTTGGCCCGTGTCTTCAGGCCCATCAAGCGCACCACCTGCACGAAGGCCGACAGGATGGGTTTCAATGCTTTGGCTTGGGATTTCGGGTTAAAGGTTAGAGCTCAGAACATTTTGCTAATGTACCCTCCTCAGCTTAAGACGTTGGAGTTTACACATATGCCGAGGAAAAGAAAAGAGAATAGCCTTCTGAGGTAATCAGGTCACAGCACCCCCCAAAGCCACCAGCTGGCAGCTGCAGGCAAAGCGAGTGTGGGCACAAAAGGCTGGCGTGCGACAGCTTTCAACTTCAGGGGACCGAGCATCCCACCTTGGCATAAGCCAGGTTTTCCGTGACAATCTTACCCATCTCGGGAAAGTGCCAGCCATACCTTGGACACCAGACAAGCTTGTTCCACAGCTTGACCCGAGCTTACGCGGATGCCAAAATTCAGTTCGCGTACTCTCAAAACAGATAATGGGAACTTGAATGCCCTCTTACGTAAACCCTAAACGCTAAATAGTAGCTTCCGTTTGCTTCTCCGTTGCCCCTGTTTAACTCCTATATCTAAGCCAAGGTACCACTCTCGGAGCCGCATGGCGAAATTATTCAACTCCTTGTCCAGGTCGTCCAACAAACCGACGGCCTCCCACCAGTTTCTGTTCAATATGAGCTATATAGTAGTCCCCTATATAATCCCCTATATAAGCCCCTTTAAGGAGTCTAGACTACAGCTCTTATGATATCCCCTGGCATTCTCATACACTGCACAATGGCTGAGAGCTGATAACCGGCGTCTTGTGAGTCTCCTGCCTGAATGATCATGGTATCCACCTTGTCCGGCGAGAACTTGAGCTTAAAGCGTGACCTCTGGCAACGGTTCCCTCATGGATCTAGCAACAACAAGGGCAATACAAGACATTCATCTAATATCAGTTGGTGAAAAGACTGCGAAGAAACCGCAGGAGGAATCATGGTCAGTTCTAGATTTAATGTTCTACGTGCATTCCGAAGTGATTTTCCAGGCAATGCACCATGAGGATTTCCATACATAACGGGCCCGAAATTAGAGCCCAGTTTATCCTTGTTGTGGGACCCCCAAAGAAGGCCACGAGCTTTCCGAAACCTCCAGGTGTTCCCCCCATACATAACGCGAACAACTTGCTTTTTGGAGGCGCAATCCTATACCCCTCCCACTAACACCTGTACCCTAAACCCTGAAAACTGTACCCTAAACACTCAACCCCAAACCCTTTCAACCCTAAAAACCTTCAGGCCTAAGCCTGGCCACCCTAAGCCCTAAGCCCTTCAAGCCTTGAACCCCAAATCCCAAACTCTAAACCCTGAATCTTGTAACCTAAACCCTAAACCCAAAACCTCCTGAACCTTGAGCCCCTAAACCCTAAACCCTAAACCCTAAAGGCCAAGGTGCAGCGTGTGAGCCAGGCCCAGGGACATGGTCTTCACCTGCTACAAGGGCGCTGTTACCACTGTCTTATATTGGTATTCTATAGGGATTATATAGGGCTACATTGGTTGTATACAGGGATATTACCCCAAAACTTTTCTGCTCAGGATGTAAGGTTTCTTGTTTGTGCGGAACCTTTTCTCCAAGATCCAAGCTTGCAGATGCCCCTTAGGGCTTGGGATTTAAGGTTTAGGGCTTGATGGTGGCAATGGCAATTGTGATGTTACTGGTGATCATCATGGAAAGGCTGGAGGGCCAGAACCAACGCGCCGAAGTATCCTTATCCTCATAAGGGAAATTGCGTGAAATATGGAACGTTGCCCTGTAGGATCTACAGCACGAGCTTTTCCCCTGAAAGTGTACGCCTAATTTTGGGAAACCCTTTAACCCGAATCCCCAAACCCTATATAAACCCAAACAACCCTTATAAACCCCTTTAACGGGAACCCTACTTTTGCCAAATCATGCGCGCTAAGCTGGAGCCTCCTGCTCATCCAGGCCCTCAATCAGCTCGGTCCTGTGGCCCAGCCCAATGAACCCCCTGTGCCCTGTTCTTGAAAGAACATGTATGGCGATTTCCAAAATAAGGATTATAGTGTTTTGGGTTCTATATTGGGGTCCCCTATTTTCAGAAACTAGGGGGAACTGTCTCATTCCAAGCGGAAGCCCACTCCGTGACAAGGTTAGGGATCACGTTGTACCGTTCAAGCGGTGAAGCTCAAGGGCTTAGAAGAAATAAGAAATGCAGAGAATCGACCCTTCCCCACTTCCAGCCTTTCCTTCTACAGCCAGGCAAGGAAAATACCACATGGCAGAAAGTCGTGCAGGCTAGTCCGTTGCAGCAGAAACGCGGGGGATGCTCTTCAGGCAATACTTTAGGATTAATCCTCACCTCTCCCCCTAAAAATGACCCCAAGATATTCCAAAGACTAAGCTTTCTTCCGTGTTTTTGCTGTGCTGAGGTATTCACACAAAAGTGTGAACCGCATGTTTTGGAAACTCTGCTTGGGATTTCTGGGTGCGCGGCAAGTGCAGCCGAATCCCTCGCATGATCTCCTTTAGGTTGTCACTTAGCACGCTCACCTGAACAGCAGCAGGGTGGTTGTTTCTCAAAGCTATAAGCTCTTGCTTTGGAAGTCTAGAGGAATCGTAGAGAGCGCGAGAAGGACTTTAGAGCTTATGTTGGGATCAATAAGAATGGTCTGGTGGGGCATGGGTGGAATTTGTACACATCCTGGGCTTCAGTAGTCTCTGGCTGTCCCTCAGGCTTTGAAGTAGAGCCACCCCGCAAGCACAATGTACAACCTTTGGTGGGATATACATGCCCCTAGTGAGAAAGATTCTTCAACTGGTCTGTGACCTTAGCAGATGTCGACAAAATGAGGTTGACACATTCTTTCACAGCCCGGAAAAGGAAAAAAAACGACTACCTCATCAAGGACCATAGTTTTCAGAACCTTCCATGTAGACCCACAACCACAGGCAGATTGCAAACCCTCGAAGCCAAAACCTGGACGGACCAGAAACTTGTCTGAGGCCTATGAACCCCTGGGTAGTTATAACTGCGGATGTAATTAGGAGACGTACGTCTCTAACCTAGTTTACGGGACTTGTGGGTTTCCCAGAATTAGGGGGTCTTTTTGGGGTCCCCGTAATAAGGTTTATAATGTTTGAAAGTATAGGTTGGAGTCCACTTCTTAGGGGAACTACAACTTGTAAGTCCACTTATAACTACCAATGAACCCCAGAATACGCCTAAACCCTAAACCCTAAGGCCCTCAACCCTAAACCCTAAACCCTAAAACCCTAAACCCTAAGGCCCTCAACCCTGAACCCTAGAATATGCCAGCCTCCAAGCCCAGCTTCTTGTTGATACTCACACCCAACGCTTTGTCAAGCACCTCTGCGGCAAACAGAGAGCTTTCTGCTGAAATTGCAATCACAGCGTTCTTGCAAAAAAAGGTAGTGGGCTTGAGAACAGACTTTGTGACTGTTGCAACAAGATCAAGAAGCCCTTCAGGACACAACAACTTAAATCCCCGTTCTCCTACTCCTTACAACATCGTCAAGCTAAATAATGGAGCTGATTGGAAAGATGACCCACCATCCTTGCCGAATGTGAGTTGCAAAGGGAAGGTTCCAGCTGCACTCCTCTAAACCCTAAACCCTCCTGGCTCTACGTTTCCATGACGAAGGCCCTGATACTCCTTGAGGCCACGGCTGCAAGGTTCTCCGTGAGCCCGGCATCAACCACATTCCTTGGAGCAGCCAAAACTGGTTTGCTGCTAAGGAACTTAAGTTAAGTTACTATATTGAAAAATCGTATTATTTACGATCTACCCAGAAACCCAGTGGTTATGCAACTTGTCTCGTGGTCAGACATGTATGTCCCTGGAGACGGCAAAGAAGGCTGGTACTCAATGGCATGCGGAAACCCTTCACTCAAAGACTCACTCTTTCAAAAAAAACTCCTGCACCCTTCTTCGCGAATCCTTCTGAAAGCGCGTGCTTGTGTTCAACGGAGGGTGTCCATGGATGTTTCAGATCGAATCAATCTTCGGAATCTTGACAGAAGGCAGGGGTGCGGCAACCAAAACGTCACTCAACATATGCAATCAGCCACGCCCGGATCCTGCTGAAGACTTCATATTTGCGGATGTCTTGCTCAGATGCTGATGGCACTCAAGCCTCCAACTCACTCAAAAGTCTTGTCCAAATGATCTGACCCGACTCTTATCAGGGAGCTTGGCACTTTTATCGCCCTGTCATACCTTCCAAAGACAGCCTACATGAGCACTGCAGGACGTACCATGCATAATGTTTTGACAGAATCTACAGAACTGAACCTGCATCTCAACTGTAGACGCAAAAATATGATGTTGAGCCGCGTAAGCCTCAATGATACCCGCCGCTAACAACCATGATAATGTTGAGGTAATACCTGGAATTATGACGAGTTATGACGGAAACAACCAGAAGCATGAATAAGTAGAGCAACCTAAAACAAGGATCACGAATCCGTGTCCGCTAAGGCGCCGACTTTTTTAAGAACTTTTTGAGGCTTTTACCAACTGTGCCCTCTGTGAGCTCGGTGCAAGCCTCAGCACGGGGAGTTTGTGTTGCTTCAAACAATGTTGCGCTCAACCCGGCATCTTAATAATGACGGAAAGAAACATAGAAACTACTGTAATACAACAGAGTTATATAGGGGTTATATAATAATAATAATAATGGAAAAGAAAACGGAAACTACCATAATATAATGGGGTACACATAGGGGTTGCACGATTGAAAAAGCTGCTTCTAGGGATTCTGCAGTCCGGGCCCCCATGCTCAATGCTCAATCCCCTTCCCGCACCAAAAAAAAAGCAAAGAAACCCAAACCCCCCTCAAACCCCACCCCCCCACCAATATCGATATCACATTGTGTTGTAACACTACCATGGACAGTATTTCAAAATCACGCTGCCTAGGTTATGGAAATTTTCGGGGCATCCGACTGAACGTGGCCACTATGTACTGTATATCCCCAGTTTCCATGTCACTTTCCACTAAATTTTCCATTTGATTCTCCATTATTGGGGTATTGTACCCTAAACCCTAAACCCGACTGAGACTGAAGACGATGGGCCTCCATGGCTGCCTTGGTATCTTCGAACTTGTGGAAGGCTGTGAGGCCAACCTGGCGCCTGGAAGACACGCATTAGGGTTTAGGGTTGAGGGCTTAGGTGTGGGGTTTAGGGTTAAGGGATTAGGATATGGGATTTGAGGCTTAGGGTTTGTGGTTTAGGGTCTAGGGTTTAGGATTTAGGCCTATGGAGGAGGCTAAACAGGATTCTAGAAGGTGATTACGGGGTTATGTAGGGCATAAATATACGTAGGGATGATGAGAAATAACTGCTGTTTTTGGTTTAGCATTTAGGCTTCAGGAAGACACATAGGTTTTCATCTTTCAGGGTCCCTGTTTGGGATTCCTACAATAAAGATTACAGCATTTTTTGTTTTGTTTTGAAGGCACTGCATTGGGATCTCGTAATTAATGGAATCTAACGCATGGGGATTTGGAGGGGGGGCACTTTCAGCATGAAGGCTCATGATATCAGGGCTTGGGGTTGAAGAGTTCGGGGTTGCTATGTGAAGCGTGCTTCGGAAAGCATACGCACAGCAAAAGAAGTTGTTCCAGTCTGAGCTGTCCTTTTCATTATCATGATTTCGGTCCTGACTGCGCGATAACCCTTGTTTACCTGACGTCGACACCATCCCACACCTTCTGATGCACGCAAGACGCACGCATGGAAAACGCCCCATGTTGCTACTGACATGCACTGGAAGCTGCCGAACTCTGCGGACAGCACTGTCGGGATGACGTTTGTGACCCTTTACCTGCCATAGCACGTCCAAGCCGCTGTGCATCCGCGCCGGTCTTGAATGAGTCATAGATCGACTCAGGATCTGCCTGCCAAGGGCACTTTGATCTCCAATGAAGCAACCCCTAACCCAGGAAGACACCTGCAGCAAATACCAATCAACCCTTCTCAAGAAAGAGCGTGAGCTCCCTATCCTGAACACTTAAACTGCTGTAGTTGATCTTCTGCTCAGAATGACTGGGAACCACCCTAGTGACAAGCCTAGCGCATGAGTGCTTCTCCTCTAGCAATTCATGGCAGCACGCAATGACTCCACCTCTGTGGAGGCAGCCTAAGCGTTGGGAACTACCGGAAGAAAGTTTGCAAACTAGATCCTAAATAAGATCCCCAATATACTAGAATAGTTTCCATTATCTTTTCCATTATACCCTTTAGGCCACTATTATATTTATATATATACACACATATATACATATACATATACATATACATATACATATACATGTATATATATAAGCATATACCTACGTATACGTATAAAAAAAAATAAATATATATATATATATGTAGGCTCTGTGAAGTGCTGTGGCATGCCTTCAGCAGCTTCTTGTTCTTCAGGTTGAACAGGGCATACCTCACAATCTCACCGACGTATAGGGACACTAGATCAGTGAGGCAAATCGAACAAGCGTGAGTATGGGCAAGCCCTATATAATAATGGAAGGGAAAATTGAAACTACCAAGTTACTATAATACAATAGGGTTATATAGGGTCATATAGTAATAATGGAAAAGAACATGGAAACTACTATAACATAACAGGGTATATCTTAAGGGGTGAGTGGCGTAGAAACATGTGGCAGACGGTCTGAGACCTCTTTGGGGGGCACTAGCCAAAAGGTCTAACTCTGGGGACCCCAAACAGGCAGCCCCAAGAACCTAGCAGGAATATGATACGAACTCACCTACCGGGGTCTCCATCTGTCTATTCCGTTCCTACTATATTCTTGGGGTTCCCCACTCTATTCCTACTGTATTCTTGGGGTTCCCTTTTTGGGGTCCATTTCGAGTTCTTTTAGCCTCTTGAGGCTCAACAGAGACTGGAACCCTCATGAAAACACAGTTTCTTATGGCCACCCCCAAAAAGGGTACCCCTGATTTTGGAAAAAGCCCTGACCACTTCAAACCACTACGTAAAGCCCGGTGTGCATTTCATTTTCCAGATTCTTTTCCATTCTAGGGGCTATATCTTCCATAACCCTATGTACCCCTATACCTGTGCGTACTCTATAAATGTATGGCATGAAATACTTTGTCATTTGGATAAGTGCCAACACCATGGTCCCAACTAGGGTTCTGCTATTCTGCTGGGGTGACTAAACCGATAGTGCGTCCAATGTTCTCCCAAAAGTGTGGCCTCAGCGCTCCAAGCGCTTCTTTTCAGGGTCTTCCCTCATGGGTAAGAATCCCACTCACCCCTAAATATACTTTATGATATTATAGTAATTTCAATTTTCTTTTCCATTATTACTATAGAACCACTACATATAACACCCACAGGAGTCCTCCGAGCTTGTGTAGACATCGGTATATACACTTTCACCCGACACATATGGTAGTTTCCCAAATTGAGGGGACCCCACTGTAAACCCCCAAGTACTGTAAATCCTCACTATGGGGACCCCCAAAAAAGTTTCCCACTATCTTGGGAAAGCCTAACCCCTATAAACCACGACGAAAAAGGCCGAGTTCAAACCCCTAAACCCTAAATCCTAAACCCTAAACCCCTAAACCCTAAACCCTAAAACCCTAAACCCTAAACCCCTAAACCCTAAACCCTAAAATGCTCATCCTGGGCTGCTGAACCCTCTGAGCTTCCTGGCCCGGCCGGGGTCTCGAGGAGCAAAAGCATGGCCGGGCCTCTGCCCAGGCCACCTCTTTAGGGCTTTAGGCTTTAGGCTCTAGGCTTCAGGCTTTAGGCTTTAGGCTTTAGGGTTTAGGGTTTAGGGTTTAGGCTTTAGGGATTTAAGGATTTAGGGATCTGGTGTTCAGGGATTTAGGGTCTAGTGTTTAGGCTTTGGGCTTTACGGTTTAGGTTCTAAGGATATAGGGATTTAGGGATTTGGGGTTCAGGGATTTAAGGTTGAGGGTTTAGGCTTTAGGGATTTGCGGTTGAGGGATTTAGGCTTTAGGGCTGGTAGGCTAACAGGGAATTTCCGATGCGGGCAAGACATTTGGATTATCTTCCCTTTGTCCCAACTGAAAACCAGTAAGTGAAAGGTCGTATTCTTGCCATGAAATTAGAAGGCGAAACAGAACTTACTACATTATGTAATATGGTAGTTTCCCTAAATAAGGGGACCCCAATATAGACCCCAACATATACTATAGTCCTTATTATGGGGACCCCCAAAAAGGTACCTCTAATTTTAAGAAACCCCAATATAGCTCCCATGGTCTTCTCCATTCAAGCTGGCACATGAGCAAAATGTGCTGCATGACATGGATTCCCTTTTTCTCGGAACAACAAGAAGGATCATCACAAATAGCTGGCCCGACAACAAGAAAGAACAAAAATCAGATCAAACATAATCCTGTCAAAAGTTGGTAATGCAGGCTATATCATACATGTTGACAATCGGGGGCCGCGTCCAAAAACATGTCACTATCAATGCTACTGAAGACAACAACAATGGCCATGATGTGCGCGGCTTCAACGACGCAACCAAAACGTCAGACCACAGCCGCCAGCCTGCAAACCCCGAATCACCTAAACCCCTAACCCTAAACCCCCATATAACCCCGATGTAACCATTATAAAACCGCCATATCCCCTTTAACCTCAAGCCAAAAACACCCAAAACCTGCCTTCGGGGGCGTCAGCCGCAGCCGCAGGAGTTGCAGCTGGAGTTCTGCGGCTTTAGCAAACGATGCATCGTCAGATGCTCGAGCCAAAATGGTACACGCATAAGGGGGTATCTAATGGTTATACGGGTTCTAATTCAGGGGTTGTGTAGGGGTATATAGGGGTTAAGGGTTAAGGGTCTACGGAATCCTCTATGTGGGGCAGGGGGAGGTTGTACAACAAATGCTGCACTGCATTAGTCTTTCCACCTGCTTTGCTGCAACTCATCACAAAAAAGGAATGTGTCTACAAGGCTGCCGTTGAAGCCTGGTGAACAGCTCAAGAGCACAGGCGACAGCAAAAGCTGCCTTTTCGCGGGCGGCGGAAGCTGCATCTGAAAACGAAGAGACTACGACGAACACTATATTCTACTTGCCAGCTTTCATGAACTTCTCCATGTATCCCGGATAGCGCCTGGCGGTTCATCTTCAAATTTCGCGGAACTCGATGCAGAAGCAAGCAGTGCAAAACAAAAGCTGGGACAAATACTTCTCCATCATGTCATCGTACCACTCTGTATCCTGACAAGCATGAGCTCAAAATGCGTGACAGCTCTTGCAGCATAGCTCCAATCCTCCTCGCGGCTATACTGCTTCTCTCTCTTTGGAACCTTGATCAAGTTTCTGGCTTTCGAGTAGAAGAACTAGGACAAGGTGGCGTCAGCAGAGCTCTCTGAGCAGTGCACCACACCGCCCCGCGGAATTGCAGCTCCGCCAGGGTTGAACCTCAAGGCACCAGCATAAGGTAAGCTGCCTCGTGCCACGAGTCCTGCAGTAAAGGTTTTGCAGCTGCCAAGCTCGGCGCTTCAAGTGCTCGGGGTGCCTCAACTTCACGAAAGGGTGCTGCAAGACATGCGTGGAACTCGAAACCAAGTCCCACACAAAAACCAGAACCCCTACCGTCAATGATCCGAGCTGCGGGATCTCACGACTGCAGCCTTGCTGCACCAGGAACGCCTCCACCTCACAGCTTGAGCCAAGAACAAGAACAGATGAGAGCTCTAGCACTCCTAACAACCTCCTCCTGATAAAAGTAAGACTGACCTGAGTCAGGTGGTTCACCGTGAGCCTCTAGAAGGAGGATTTTCAGCTGGAGGAGTCTACAATCGTACCAGAAAAGCTTTTGGTAGTGAAGATGGCTGACAGTAACTGCGCTGGCCGGACAACCGAAACCCGCAAGTAGTATCAACCGGACAGAAATGAGGGCCGTCCATGTCGACTCCTCTAGCTCTGTTTCCAAACACCAATGGCGAGTTTAACGCATAACAGGTCATAGCCTGATGATAATTTGAGCATGGTCGTACCCAGTTTTTTGGGCAAGCAAGGTCCACACACACTCTGGGGCTGTTTAGGGATGTAAAGGGTCAGAATCAAATGAAAAAGATCATGGACAATGAAAAGGAAGCTGGAGCTATTTTAGGGGGATGATATAGACGGAAGTTTCTCGAAGTAGGGGTACCCCCACAGAACCAAGGTATACACGGGGAGAAGTGGGGGGGTAGCCATTAGGCATTCAACAGGACCAATTCCAATATTTCAGAAGAGAAACTGTTGGACCCAAAAATGTGGGTTTCTCGGAACTATGGCTGCGTTTCACAGGATTCTGGGGTTATAGCAGGGGACTAGTCAAAAGTAACCTCCCGCGTACAAATTCTGGAAATCCCTGACAACCTTCCAGACTCTTCGTCCCTGTTTCTTCAGGAGCCCGCCGCAAAGTGGCCGCGCAGGTGAGCTTCGGCAAAAGCTGTTCGCCTGTGCTGGCAAATCTGCGCGCAGGATATCTTTCCACAGATAAAGGGATGCGGGGCTCCCGGGTGGTTCGGCAACTTTCCATTCCGCAATTCAAACGGAAGAGGCAAAGTGCAGAAGGACTAAGGCGCACTTGGGTGCGTGTTTCCGGTTAAGGGCACCTCAATGACTCCTGCATCTTGGCCGTGCGACCTTACATCTTCATAGCTATCATGAAGACATGCGACAACAACTCAATCGGAATGCTTCTGGTTGACAACTTCAGGGAGCAGCTAGCCCGCATGAGCCCTTCCCATTGAGCAGGCTAGCCTCTCTGCTCCGTCAGCCTGAAAACGAATGTCCCAAATCCTGCAAGACAACACGAAGACCGAGATGACCCTGCCGACACTAAACTCAACACACTGGCAAGCTGATCAGAGAACTCCCCAAATGGCCTACGTCCCAGACCGAATCTTTTGAGGAAAAATGTCACCAGTACCTTGGTCATACGGTCGTTTCCCAAAATTAGGGGTACCTTTGTGCGGGTCTCCATAATAAGGTTTAATTTTTTTTGGGGGGTGTAAATTGGGGTCCCCCTATTTTGGGAAACTACCATACAGCATTGGTTGTGTTGACTAATAACGGTATCATGTTCTTCCCAGTGATGCAAGATGTACTTTGGCATGATTCTTACTATGACTTCAAGGCCCTACGTCCTAAGCCCTCAGCCCCAAACCTTAAACCCCCATTCCATCCAACCATAACCCCCTCACCCCTCATCCCTTCGCCTGTAGCGCCCCTTGAGGTCAATGTCCACTCCTTCCTCCAGAAGCTCCTTCGGGCGGTGTAGAGTCCCCCCTAAGTAGATAGGATATGGGGTACATGGGGACCTGATTATGATATACCCCAAGCCACATTCTATCTACTTAAAGGGGACTATAGGGTTCAGTTTTTTAAAACCGCCCTCCGCACCTTTTCCAGTGCAAGCAAGCAGCTAGGGGAGACAAGGAGTCGGACTTGCAGGGTTTTTTTTTGAGGGAGGGTAGCGGACTTTTCGGTCCAGCCTGCTGGCCCATTCGGGCCCCTCCAAACTTTCAACTCTCAAAACTCTTTCACTCCAAGAGCTGCGTTGGTTCCTGAAGGCCGTCAAGACGGCTAAACCCAGATCACTTGCCACGACTATGCTTGGCACAAGTCCCTGAGACCACCACTGGTACACAACCACCCCTAAGGGGCCCTGCACAGTTCCCAGCGGATCATCAACTGAGAACCCATCACTTCCTTATACAGGAGGAGCAGGGCCCAAAGCAACACCAGGCTCAGATGACACCGTTGAACTTGCGGCCGAACTCACAAGGTCATCATTTCCAGGTGGTCGAAGTCGTTTGTTTCGCTGCCAAGTCACCTGATCCGCCATGGCCACTTCCTCCCATTTACGTGAGGTCAACCGCACGGTGCTGGCTTCCGACTCCGAACCCTTGTCCTCCCGGCTCTTCACGTAACTCTCCCAACGTTGAGCATCACAGAGTGCCTCCTCTTCCTGAATGCGTTCGTACTCTTCTGCGGCTTCATGCTCCATTTCAAGGAGGAGGTCACTTTGCAACTGGCGCTCGTCATCACCAGGGTCAACACCGAGTGCTACTCCACCCGCTCCATTGCTCGATATGGTGCCAACCACCAACTCCTCGTCTGGAAGAGTAGAGCCGCTGTCCACCTGCACGCATTCCTGAGGCAACACAATCAGGGATTCTTCTGATCAAATAGCAGGAAGCAAGACATTCCACCAGCGTCGCGCCCACGCACTGTCTTCCTCCGTCGGCACCTGTCCAGATCCATCGCCTGCAAAAGCTCCCGTGATCGCCTCCAAGCTCTGGGCCCGCTTGAGCAAAAGCCTTCGCCCAACCCCTCGACCGTAGCGGTCTGTCAAGAGGCCACGCAAGACCTGAACCCTGGCTGCTTGCACATCCGGCTCCAGAACCGAGAGCTCATCAGTGATTTTTTGCATATGGAAAGCAAAAGTGCTGATTTCACCCTTGACCACATGGAATACCGACCCTTGCATAAGACTGTGCTCATCGCCAGCAGAACCTCGGCCATGCTCCTCCTGCCGCCTTCCAGTGCGAAGGTGTCGCATGTGCGCATCAACAAGCTGAGCTACTTGTGCCTGAAACAGCCCAGTAAGTTGCGAAAATGCAGCTAGAAGGGCTGCAGAGTCCTCAGCGCAGGGTTTAGGGTCTTTGAGATTCGTGCAAATTTGGATGCCTTTACACCGGACAAACAATCATATCCAGCACCCCTCCTGAGGCTTCTCTTCTTCTTCTATAGGCTTCTCTCTGTCTCTCTCTCTCTCTCTCTCTGCCGGGATGCGGACGCAAAGCCCCCGCTGCAGTGCGCCGGTCACATGTCATTGCACAGGGTGAACATGACAAACCATGATTAGCATAAAGTTAACAGAAGCGGCGGATGCAGCCACTCAGCGGCCAAACATCCAGCACATGAACGCACCCTCATGAGATTGCCATCTGTGACGATCTTGTACCCACTCCGTGAAGTTCAGCTCATGTGCACGACAGTACGCGTATACGTCTTGTTCATGCCTACGAACGTACCACCTCCTGGGGTGCACCACCACTCCCCAGTTTTGCCTCCACCATTCCATGTTCTTGTGGGACAACAAGAGCCGCATCATGGGCATAGCAGAGCGCATGCAATGGCCGAAATAACGCCAGTGCCGGATCACTGCTGGGCAAATCTAGCAAATCAGGGGATTGTCACACACAAGGGCATCACTGGCTTCTCGTGCCGTGCGGAAACGTCGTCTATGTGCATCAACCAAGGTCTTTCCAGGAAGTCGGAGTGCAGGAATGCAGTACGACATCATGCGTCTCTGGACTATTTTGAGATGATGCAGCTGTCCCCTCCTGAGGCTTCAGTATTGTTACACTTATGATGTGGTAATAAGGGACCCAATATAAACCCGAAAATACTAGAATCCTGATTATTGGGACCTCCAAAAAAAATACCTCTGATTTTGGGAAACCCCCCTATTAACCCATTTTACCCCAATATTAAACCATACTATCCCAATATTGGGGGACTGTAATGGGATAGGGGGGCCTGCATCCAACGTTTAAAAAAGCATCTCTCAGTTCAGGAGCTGCAGATAGGAGATTGCCATTATGGCTTAGGGTAAGGATTGAGGGTTTAGGGTTTGGGGAAAGGGCTTTGGGGGGGATCATGTAGGGTTTAGGGTGTAGGGTTTGGGGTTGTTTTTGGATTTAGGGTTGAGGGCTTAGGGCTTAAAACCCTCAGAAGAAGGATTGTGTGGGAGTAGGTGCTGTTGCTGTGGGGAGGCGTCCGAGGGTTCGAGACTCAAGGTTTGGAGTGGTTAGAGAAGCGAGGAAATTCAACACTACTATATCCCTATATAGCCCATACAATCTCCCCATAACACCCCCATAATATACCTACAATATCCCTATATATATACACCCCATAATCTCCCTATAACGCCCCTAGAGTATCCCTATAATATGAGGTTTCGAAGCGCAGGTTCGGAGACGTCTTCTGGGACAGCTTGGGGGACCCAAATCATCCCAACAATCTAGAAGCCCCCTTAAGTAGATAGAACAGGGGGTATATGGGGATCTTAGTAGAACATACCCAAAGCCATAGTCTATCTACTTAAGGGGGACTATGGCCCTGCTTGCTGAACATAACTATGCGGCTACTGCCACATGCAAATCCCAAAGCATCAGAAAGTCCTTGATGCGGTCAAGATCACCAAGATAGGCAGCCCCTCAGCTGTGAGCATGGCGCTTTGCAAAACCATTGTCCCGTTATCGAAGGTGCTGTCTATAGACGCAAGTTCTCCGAAATGCCCCCATAGGGTCGAGTTTGAGGCTAAATGCTTCAGGGTTACCAAGTCATAAGGCACCAGGACTTGCTGGGATAAGGTTTGCTGGCGCACCATTTCCGAGCAACTTCAAACGCTTCAAAATTCTGAGTCTCAAGATGTCACGTCTCAAGCAACGCATCAAGCAACTGGATCCTGGTCTTGATCGTCACATCATCGTCGTGAGGATTAGAAATGCTAAATATCATCAGCAAATTTCAGTAGAACACTGCATCATCACAGACACGATCGAGCAAGCAGCCATGAGTGACAAGTGTAGACCCATGTAGACCCGGAAGCGGGTCACGAAGTCGCTACCGCTGCACCTCGCAGGAGACAATCGCGAGCCATCAGAAAACCCTGCTGCACACCTTCGAAACAATCCCTACCCAAATGCAGAAAACATTTAGCCCCATATAAGCCCCGTATAGCAAGCTGCATGAACCTGTACGATCCCAATCGGACCCTGCACAATTCAAGATAGGCTCATGAATGAAAACCTACGTAGGCATGTTGCGAAACACTCGCTTCATGCAGATGAGAATGGCAACTGGCAAAAGGGGACTTGGTTTACAAGACTGGCAGCAGTCAAGGGTCTAGGGTTTATGGAAATCCCAAATAGGGGAGGAGCGGAGCAATTTGGAGCATGTCTCCAACTAACCCCCTATGTGATCTTTAAGAGAACCCCTGTATAGTCCCTTCATAATCCCTGTATCCCTCTTGGGTCCCTAAGTTACCTATATTGCCACCAAGCCCCACCTAGCCTTAGATGCTTTCGACCAAGCTTCCGAAGAGTCCCGGCTGGCCACCCTCAGACTTGAGCAGCTGAACTGTGCCCTGAGAGCTTAGGGTTTAGGGTTTAGGGTTTAGGGTTTAGGGTGAAGCCATAAAAGATGAAACCGTTTAAGGTTTCGGGCTCAGGGTTCAGGGGGTCAGATGTTTTGCAGTTTAGGGGTTACAGGTCGGGTTCTGGGTTCAGGGACTAGGAATTTCTCCAATCAAATGTCCCGTCTACAACGTAAGTGCCTGGGATTCGTGCAATAGGGGCTGACAAACAGTGCAAAGATCGTAAGGCCAATATGATTTGGATAATGGGGAATATCTCCAAATCATGCATGGGTCCCGTCCACAGCTGTGACCACATAAGACATGGGAACGCTTGGGAATGACACCTTGCGAGCGCAGGGATGGTATTACTGATCGCTCATATGCAAGGCAGTCTAGGGGCACTATGGCCATGAAGCTGCCGGGAGATTCAACCAGGAAGGTATAAGAAGTGCTCTCAGAGTCTAACGGGTTGCAGGTTCCAGTAACAATGGCAGCACTCACCATACCCTCAACAATGTCAAAGTGAGTTGCACGGTGCATGCCAGCACGTCTACCCAATGAGTTGGGATCAACTTGAGCAACGTTGCTGGGCAAGTGTAGCCTTCCTACCAGCAATTTTGGATTGCTGCATGTGTCTAGAAAGTACACTCACGCGCAACACACGTCCTCAGGAAAGCCTGATAAGACTAACCTGACACTTCAAATGTCCGTGCCTCCTCCAACACAATTTGGCGTGCCCTGGACTTAAACTACAATCCACATGCCCTAGCCCGTCGGTATGCTTACTACCCTTCAGCATTGCTTCAACGGCTGCAAGCATTACCCTTTCTCATAAAACATGGTCCTCTTTTACTATCGTCCTTCTCAGTCTCTACTTCTTTCCAACTTGATGCTGTAATACACTATGGCTCCGTATGGGAGTTTCCATAAATAGGGGGAGACCACTTATAAACCCCAAAATGACGCTTATTGTGGGGACCCCAAAAGCAACCCCAATTTTTGCAAATCCCGATATGCTACAATCACCGATAGTTCTGCAAAACACATCCTAGACCCCAAACCCCTAAGCACACCAACCTAAACCCTAAACCCCAAACCGTAAGCCCCTGACGGGGGTCAAACCCTAAACCCCGAACCCCACACCCTAAACCCCAAACCGCAAACCCTTAAGGTTGGACTATGCCAGGGCCTCGTAGCCATGAAAGATGGCCAGATCAATGGGCTTGCCTGGGCACTTAAGGTTTTTGGTTGATCGGTTTAAAATTGGGGAAGCAGAGATTGCAAATCTCGTTTCGTAGGCTTGCTGATCCTACTCTTCGGGCTATGCTTCCTGAAGTTCGAACTGCGTTGCAATTCTTTCAGCCCTAATTGCAATACATGCTCTCCACACTCTGGAACCCTAGACCCAGCCCTCAGCAAAGGCAATGATAGTTTCCGTGATCCAAAGAACCATGATTAGGTACTTCCGGAAAAGGACCCCCTTTTCTGTTGGAAACCCTGATCCCCAGCAACTTAATTTCCGTCTCATCTCCTGTGCTCTTTTCAATGTGATTCTTCATTTTTGGGCTCCATATCCCAAAGACCAACCATGAATATCAACAATCTAAACACGAAGACGATACTAATCGAAAGATACTAAAACTCATGAAAAGAATACTTGCAAATAAGTATTGCCTTCGATTATGATAATTCTAAGAAACCAAGTTCAGCATAGTCCAAACCCCGCATCTTGGACTGCGTGCCGAGGGCCCTGCATCGGAAGATGTTTTCCACGTCGATGTCTGCGCCCTGGCGCCTGGTTCTGCGACATCTTCATGAAACTGCCAGGACAGGGGCATTTCCCAAAACACGGGTCCCGTTTATGTACCTCAAAATCAAAATACAAAAGATTGGCACTATGAACCAAGCGGTACAGCATGATGACACCACCAGAATGACTGCTTGAGGCCTACTGTTTAAACACATGCCCGAGTTCATTCTAAGCATCACTACATGCATATATCCTTCAACCCCGGCAAAATGACATTTATAATGTACAAAGCTGCGTATGACCAAAGGAAGGGGCAGATAGGACTGAGGGTTTCGAATCTAAACCAGGAATCAGCGGTTCACCTGGACTACGACCCTCCTGGGAGCCGCGTGAGCTTGAGAAACTCTGCTTCACAAAGCTGAAAAGCTGCGCTTGGTCTCAAAAGATTATAGCAGATTGCAGCGCAAAGACTTTGCTGGGGAATAACAAGACGTTGGATACTTTTCGTGTATACAGGGATGAACAGTACGGGGACCCCTGTTCGGAAGCTACAAAAATGAAAATATGTGGAGGTACTTCCTACAGCTGGTACAAACTGGTAGACGATAATATCCCAACCTATGATCCTTCGCAAACGCCATCAGTGCAGCGCAGCCTGTCTGCATTGGGGTTTAGGTTTGTTTTTTTCTGGGACCTAGTGTTTGGAATTTAGGGTTAGGGTGAATCCGAAGCAAATGACCCGAGGTTCCGGCACCAGGTACTCTGAAATCTCGTAGCGCAGGGCCTGCCGAAGACCAAACAGTTCGATGCAAAGTCAGGATGATCTGCTTGATGCGAGAGGGCTGTTGCAGAGAGCTAAGCCCCTACTAAACTCAGACTCCATTTCCTGATGGCATGCTCTCTTCCAGTCAATTCTCCATGTCCATGGGAATGCAGTATCGCCTATATGTCCCTATCAACCTACTGTCAATTCAATTTTCCATTTTTCCCCGTTATACCTCATTTGTCTGACGAGACTCCTGCCTTCTCTCTGGCCATCAGGTCTGCATCCCAGAAGTACCTGGCCCAGCCCTGCTGGATAAACCCGGGAGATCGACACGAAACAGCTCGTGCGGCAAACATCCAGAACAAGGTAGTAAAGGAACTATAGAAACAATAGCAACAATAGTAACAATAGTAGTTATAGTAGTAATTGTAATAACAGTGGTACTACTAAGACAACTGCTGCCCTTCAGCCTCATTTCATTGCTCTGCAAAGCATGCTGCGCGTAGATTGTGCTTCAGGGACTCCTTCCACCAATTGTTCTCACCAAGCGCCGACGGGTTACGGGCAGTTCGCGAGGTGAAGCGGAGTGTTCCTTTGGGACAGCTTTGGATGTCCACAAGATGGTGACAGCAAACACTCTTGCCAGGTTACTGCCATGGCTGGTTCGGCAGGGAGATATCTGCTCCTGGCCAGTACCGATTTAATTACGTAATTATGCCCCAAGCAAGTATGTGAGCCACTTGCAGGGCATAAATGGAACAGGTTGACACTTCGGTGGGGTAGTCCATCTGGTGGGGATAACTTGTTGGAAACGAAGGTTCACCATGCACCCTGTCTAGCACTGTGTCGACCAGAGATCATTATGAATGAAGAGCAGGGGTTCTGATGGGGACTTTCTGGCCCTTTTACGTCCCCAGGCAACGCTGCAACAGCAGGCACAAAGGACTGCGCTGCCAAACCAGCTACCAAGACCTGGGAAAAATTGACAGCATCCAACATGCAGCTTCAAATTGTCCAACTCGGTAACGAGCTCCCTGAAAAATGCTGCCACTCTTACTATCCTAGTGATGATCATCATTTTTGAGAGAATACTATCGTATACTATGAGAGGTTATATTATACTAGAGTATACTCTAGTATACTCTAGTATTTTATAGTATGATATTCGCATCACGGGCATCGAGCATGCCAAGGCTGGCCATCTTCCACGGCTGACTTCAGCTTGTTGATGTCACACTCCAGGCAAGCCTCTTTGCCATGAAGACATGTGGCTCATAGCCTAAACGCGCAGTATCCCCCTTAACAACCCCTACAGATACGGTAGTCCCTGCATAATCCCTTACACAACCGCCCTTTAAGGATTTTGGACTATGACTCATGTGAATGCAAGTTGGAGGCTTGCAGAAGGAGAACTTTGGTCAGCGCGAAACTGCCGGGATTTGATCTCGCACATCTGATTCCGACAAACATAAACTAAACATCAGCAAAACTGATGATGAGCTTGTCATGTCACTCCGGATCTCCGGCCAATCCGCAGTAAGGTACTCTCTGCACAACGACACAGCACCCCAGACAGACTTAAAGTGCAGGTCCGCAAAACATGTTGGGAGACTTAACTGACTTACCACATTAACCCCACTCACGAAGAGCTGATGGAAATGCAGGACCCGGGTTGCAAGCCCGCGGCATTGACACACTCGCCTCCAACATGTCTTCATCAGGCTGGAACACATCTTCCGGATCCTCATTCGAGGCCTGCAGGTCAAAGCAAGAAACGTCCACACCAATGTGGCTAGGTTGCAGCAAGACTTGCAGGATAAGCACATCAGCCTCGATGTCATGCCATCGTTCATAAGCGGCTCTATATGAACCATGTATTCACAGCAGCTCCACAGCAAACAGTACAGGCAGCTATCACCCACAACGGTATTCGCAAGTATTCGGCCGGCTGCATTGCCTTGTAGTTCTGGTCTGCCAGTGGCCCGTCATACCTCAGGTAAAACTCCTTGATGCGTCAAGAAGGGATACACTGTAGCTTTACAAGTGACACGTTCACTTTCTTTTGTTTCACGCCTCGCGAATGCCAGAGAAATTCGAAACAGCATCCTCTGACGTATTCCCTCAAGATAAATCTGCCATCACAAATGGGTCAAAATCGGTCCACTCTGAACCTCCGGATTTCGCATGCCAACTGCACCAAGAAACAAGCATTCATGCTTGGAAGCTCCGTTTTACTCTTCGCCTTGAGCCGCCTAACTGAGACCATGAACCTTAGCGAGATATGTAGGCTTTACGTAGGGTATGGGGTTTAAGGTTCAGGGTTGAGGGTTTCAGGCTTTGGGGCCTATAGGGTTTGGGGTTTAGGGTTTAGGGCTTAGGGGTAAGAGACTACCGGTGTCCACATTTCAGCCTGCGTACATTGAGCAAGCCCGGCCTAACCTGCCAGCTCTACACCCAAATCCCGACTCCAGAGAACGCGGTTTAGGGTTAAGGTTTCTTTTTTTTGCAGCGCCTCGTTTATCCTCCCGCACGAGGTAAAGGCTGGTTCAGCAGGCGTGAACTTATCCCCCTCTCAGAAAACACCCCGCATCTTCATAAGGGTTTAGGGTCAAGGGTTTAGAGTCTCTCCCGATAAAGTTCCAGCATCCATCATCTGAGAAAGGCACGGCTTGGGAGCAGGCGGATCTGGAATGAGCCTTACAAATTGGCTCAATTCTTTTTAAGGATGCCATGGCTGACCGTCTTGCTACTACGACTTCGATTACAAGGTAGCATTAGCACAAAGAGAAAGAAAATTATTAGAAGCAGCGCTAGTACTCATATTGCTAGTCATAATAGTGGCTAATTTCAAGCAGACTGTTCCTGAAATATCACATTTGTTATAGCCTGCTGCCCGCTTTTGATGAACTGGATATGCTGAAGAAAGACTGTGATTTTGCAGGTGTCATGTGAAACTTTACCTTCCCAAGCATACGCTTCACAATTTGCATCGCGTTTGTTATACAAATGCTCAAGAGAACATCTTGCCTGACGGCCATCACCAAAAGTCAAGACCGAGCCGCAGCAACAGTTGCACTGACAAGTTGTGACACAGCCCTTACCCCAAACTCTGAACCTCTAAACCCTAGACTCTAAATGAACCCCTCCTAGGTCTCTCCCAAGATGATGGGCTGCCTTCCTGTAATTCCAGATTCAAAGGCTACCATGGATATTGGGAAGGTCGAGGCTAACCTACAGTACAACCCTACATATGAGACAAAGTTATGGACCCAATGAAAATTCAAGTCTTCTGGCTTCATAGGGAATATATAGGAGTTTAGCCGATAATAATTGAAAGTTGTTTCTTAAACCCTAACACCTACACCCTCAAACAAGGGCCGCTGCTCGTCCCCCTTCTTATAAGGGACTCGACCGCCGATCGTCTCCCCAGCCTGGCAAGGAAAAGTACGGATTTCTAAATAACTATAGAGGAGTATTGGGTTGTACAAGGATTTTTGTCCCAATGTTCAGCTAGTTTTTAGGCTTCAAGGTTCAGCATCATACAGGGGGGTTTCCCAATATTACTGGAAATATGGATGTATTGGGAGAATGGAAAAGAAAATGGAAGCTAATATTTTGCGCTTAGGGTTTCCCAAAATTATGGGTACTTTTTGGGGGGATCTCATAATAAGGAACATTGAATTTTGGCATACCCCAATATGTAGAAGGATATTGTCCCAATAACAGAAAGTCAAAGGAAGTCAAGTGGAAGAGAAAGATGGAAGATAAATGAACACTGCGATTGTGTAAACATGTGGCCCAAAGCAGCTGAGGATTCGCATCACCTTTTATAGGTCATAGGTCCTCACTTCATGTTTTTTCCAGTCTGGAGCATCATGCGGGCATTTTTGGTTGTGTTAGCAAGCTTGAAGAAAATTAAATGATGCATCTGCTATGCCGCTGAACACCACAAATCCCGTATCCCGTTGTGTGTTAGAAATAATCCTGCAACCCGTCGTATCCTCCGGAAGCCCTCCAGCTGACTGTTCAAACCAAAGCCGAAATGTTGGGATTTCTCTTCGAAGGCGCCTGCAAACTATCAAAACCCTTGACCCAAAAAACCGAGCCCTAAAGATCTAAGCAGGCGCAGGCATGAACACTTTGGCGGGCGGGCGAAAGGTTCCTGGGCATCCTCATCGCGGGGTCGCTGCCATTGGACCTGGCGAAGCACTATGAAAGGGGAAGGCAAAACCATGAGGCTATATAATTTGCAGAGGTTAGCGTTTTGGGACGTGGGGGGATTGGAGTTTGGGAGTTTCCAGGAGTAGCATGATGAAAAAAAAAAGCGTGGTGTGCTGCAGAATACAGAAGCGAAAGAAGCAGAAGCCTTAGCAGTGGAAGCAGAAGCAGCGGTAGCTGTGGCCATCAAGATACTAATCCTTCCGACAATGCTATATGTCACTGTGTAGGAGAGAAGCAGCACCATAAAGAGTAGAACAATCTTAGACTAAGTGCATGCATGGACGTTCACCTCACTTGTTACCGCTGTAATAGATCATAATGGCGACTGGTGACCATGGCAATGAGAGCATCAACACCCACTAGCCAATGACACATAACGTAACAACCACAAAGCCCAAAATGTTACCCCAGCTGAAACTGAATTTCCTGTATGTCCGCTTTTTGCTGTTCAATCCTTTAGAAGGGAGGGGAACCAGTGTTGGGTGGCACTTTCAGATTCTTGCACCTTGGGCTGGCGGCTTGGGGTTCGGGTTGAACGTGGGCTCTGGCATAGGAAGCTTGATGAAATCACCAGACTTGGTGTTTGGAATCGCATTTTGGGCGGAATAAAACGTCACGGAGATCTCATGAAGGCTTTTGGAAAGCAGCTGCGGCAAATCACACCATACTTAGCTGCAACTCAATTCTCGCTGAGTTCCAGAGGTCGCGTTTGAACCAATCAAGGCCGCGAAATTGCATCCGTGCGCCTTCTCCAGGGCTCTGCAGTAATAGTAGACCTGGCCAATCTGCAGTCTGGATCTATATCATCTACAGTCCATATTTCCCAAATAATTCATGGACATAGGATGCTATTAGGGAACATATTAGGGGACTATACTCAGCTGCCAAAGGGACCCCAGAGTCCACCCTTAATGGTCCCTTGGTAAACCAAGTATTGACACCACCTCATACACGGCCCACAGTGTTCCACCCCAACCAGGACTGATGGGCTGCCCACTAAACAAAAGGACAGCAGGCCGTGCCTGCGGGAAGCAGAAATAAGTCTGACCATCGTTGGTGGCGAAGGCTTCCCAACCTGGCGAGGTCAAGTCCGATGTTGTCATGTTGAAGCCACAGGCGAATGGGCGAACCCGTGCATTCTGTGCACAACCAACACTCAGGACACTCGGAAATACCATGCTCGGTAGCAAAACAGGACTTAAAGATTCTGATAACGACCTCTCATTGCACCAAAAGCTGAAAATGTCCCGGTCCACTCCCAAAACATGGCTGGGGCAGTCCTTCTGGGAGGTCGTCCACCTCCACGGGGACAGGCCCAGGGCCGGCCTGGGCTAAAGTATAAACGGCTGGCGAAATGCTGCAATTGCTCCTGCTGTTACTTACAAGTTGTTAGTAATTAGGCCCTAAGGTTGCTAGTACGTCTTGTTGCTGTGATTGCAGTGTCGGCGGTGGTGTTGCTGGGGGATGAAGATGTTTGTGATGATAGTAGCAATTGCGACGGCGATTACACAGGTGATGGCGATGGGGCTCTTGGGGATCGTGCTGCCACTGTTGATATGGCATGACGTGCAGCCCACATCAGAATCCTGTTGTTACTTTTGCGGGTCAAACTTTTACGGAACCTCGTAATAATGAAAGAATCCCAGCATCCTGGCACTTGACACAAAGCAGTTTCTGTAAACAACTGATCCAACTACCACTGTAAACCACAAGTAAAAACCCATCATTTTGGCACACACCCATTCAGCAACAAAGGCGTTTGAAGGGCAACCTACATTATTTCTCAGCTGGGGCTGGGTCCGCCATAGCAAAGGCAGCACAGCTGCGCCGTTCGTGGGTGCCCGTACGCGAAGGCCACTCTACTTAAAGTACGGACATGGACTTAGAACTTATCTCTAGTGGCGCCATGCTCTTGGGAGGTGCGTTCCAACCCACTGAACCCTCAGGCCCTTGAGTCAGGGTGCCTTCCAAAGGACCAACCTTGCCGCTACGCTTGCACTGGAAATGGGGATGATCGCTACTGCAACGAGATGACAATATTGCATGTGGACGGAATCCTGGAGCCTAGCCACGCACCGAAACATGCTTGGAGTCTGGATGTGGCCATGCGGGTCTCACTGAATCGGCAACTCATCCACTTGTGTGTTAGAAGCCGCAACTCTACTGACCGCAAGTGGAAATCTAACAGCCGACATATTTGTGCATGGTGCTTTCTGGCTTTGAATGAAGGTTGTATGTCAAGATTGGCGCCGCCTGACTTGAAACCTCCCGCCCAGACAGAAACCTTAACTTGACCCAGAAAAAACACACCATGCATGAAATGTTGCTTAATGCTCTGTGAGGAGTATGTTGGGGAAGGACCGCTCGTGAAGACTCCATGAGTACGAGCACACCCCCTGCCATCACCGAATGCAACATCATTGAGTACCAGCTCACAAATATCAAAATCAGGCCAGGGAGAGAAACGGCGGGAAAATAATTTCAGGTGGCAGTACTGCCTTGGCCTACGCTGAGTGCAGCCGAGTGCAGCCCCACCCAGCTGCCGGAACGGCTCGAAAGTATAAAAAGATCCGGACTGCTTAAACGGTCAGCTGGACACGCAAGCTGAACCTAGAAAACGTGCGTTTGCCTCCGACAGCTGTGGTGCACAGTGAAACACCGATCAGCGCCAAGGGCAGCTATGTGGCACAAGCACCTCCCTGATCACTGACACTGCACACGTTGCTGTTTCGGTAGCAGCCTTAACCTAAACCTGGTGTGGCCTGGAAGCAAAGAAATCTTTACTGCAGTCATTTAGCCCACTACAGCAGTGACCGAGGCACACGACTTGCCAAGTCCCCCGTGAAATCTGACGCGATGGTGCAACTTCGGCTGCAGTTATACACGTGCATAAGCCGTGCAAAAGCACCTCTCTGGCCAGCAACGCCAGCCATTTTTCATCCGGAAGCTTTGCCTGCCATTCCGACGGGATGCGGCGCAGGCCTTCACACGGCTTGCGCCAACAGATTGCGTCCCAAGCCATCTCAGCCGGACCGGCTTGCAACGCAACGCTGTCCACAAAGGAGCCTCGATGTATGGGACAAGCGGAGTGGCCAGGGCTTACATGTCCTAGTGTGCCCGCCAGCTGCAGTCAACAGCCAGTGACAACATTTGATTGTGATGGCTTCGAAAGTGGAATCCTAGCCAGATGCCACTTGCTTCTGCAGAGACCCATCCAGGGCTATGGCTTTTCCTTGACGAAGAACACAAGCGCATCCATAATGTGGGCTGCAGCCTGCAAGCTTACTTAAAACAGACTGACTGAAGATTAAAAGCTACACCCTCCGTCTGGGTCATCGCAATCTAGCATGCAGTTCCAGGATTTTGCAAGCATAGGCGCTTCGTAGAATGGCACACACACAGGCGGCAGCGACAGACTGCTCCAAATCCATGTGGAGCCCAATCGGAGCCCACTTGGAGTTATGCCCCAGTGGAGCGCAGGCGGAGCCCAAGCCCGCCCAGCTAGTAACAATGATAGTACTGGCAGTAGTAGGAATGGTAGTAGTAATAATAGTAGAAATAGTAATAATCATAATCAAATTAATAGTAGTAATAGTAGTATTAATAAGAGTGATAGTACGTACATTGAAATAATAAAAAGAACAAGTCTTAGCTTCAGGTGAAACTGACCGTTCCGTTTGTCACCTTAGCACCCATGTAGGTCTTGAGAAGCATGAGGTTGTAGTTTGTCACATCATACACCGACTCAAAGCAGGCGCTGGCGCCAATCCACCACGTCTTGCGCGCACCCTGCATCTCGAAGAGACTCCGTGGGGCTCCCTCCATGATGGCCTGTTCTTCACGCGCATCTCCTTGAGCTCCTCGCGGAACTTCGCCAGCAACTCTTCCGACTGATACATCCGGTTGTTCTGATCCGGGGTTCGGTCCGAGTCGCACAACACCGGGTCAGCCTCACAGTAATTCTCATAGAACTGGTACCCAACACGTGTCTGCCGAAGCTTGGCCCATTCCCCTGCAAAGATGGCCGCGCCATATCGGTCAGTGTACCACGAGCCATCCTGGCTGGGATCAAACATCTTGTCGGTCCTGTACATGATGGGTGCCTGCCGCTCGTCCGTGTAATCCAGCACTGGGTCGCTGGTGTACAGCGCGGTGGCCAGCACGAAGCTTTGCAGCTTGGAGAAGATAGAGGCCTCTTCAGACACAAGGTCCTTCACATACTTGCGCGCATGGACACGCGCGGCCAAGTAGATCAGGAAGTCGTACTCTTTCTCCATGACCTCTTCCGGGCGGGACTTCTGCGTGTACTGGATCCGAACTGGTAAGTCAGGATCACTCAGCTGGCGGTCAATGCTCAAGATTGAAACACCATACAGCACGTTGATCCCATCTGCGGCAGCCATGGTGGTCCAAAGCCTCTGGTGTCCCTCAGGGATCCTTAGCTGTCTTCTTGACCTCCTAGAGGTTAACTTTTTAGCCCCCTCGTTATAAACCATATGGACACCTAAAAAGTTAGAAGCTAAAAGAGCCAACCAGAAGACAGCCAAGAGTCATGGTGAGTGACCGTCTTGTGTTCTTCGCATCACCGCCAACCAATTTGGTAACGAGAGTGTTTACCAGGGTTTCCCGAAGAGACTGGTACCACGCGCTGTCCTAGGGTTGATTTGGAGGCCCCTATCAAAGTAAAATTTCCATGGCTTGATAAAGAGTATAGATGGATTAGGGGCAGTAACACTTAGAAAATCTTAGAAATCATCTGAAATCTAACCCTGTGTCTGGGTTGAAGACCTCTTCCAGCCTTTTGCGGAAGCTCATCTGGACATAGCCGTTGAGCACCTCTGGGCTAATCCACGAGAGACCATAGAACGCCGGAATCGTGGAGATGTAGCCATAGCCTTGCACCGCATGTGCAAACATGAGAAAGCCAGCAAGGGCACGCATGTCGTTCGTTTGCAGGAACTCCAGGTAGGTCATGTTGATTCTCCTACGGCTCCCCACAGGAAGCCGGGAAGGCATTGTGAACTCGACCTCCCCAAAGATTTCCAGCGTGGCGCTCGCAGTCCATGGAAGACTTTGTCACTAGCTCCATCCTGGACAGTATCAAGAAGAAGTTGATCTCGGTTCCATGGTGGGCAGTCACCCAGAAGCTGCAGGTTTCCTCTGGCGCCTGCTCTCCTTTCAAGCCATACTCCTCTACCAAGTCTTGAATGGATTGGTAGCCATTGCGCAGGTAGCATGTTCCCATCTCGTTGCCAACGCACGAGACGGTATCAACTTCTTCCGTCTCCTTGGACTTCTCTTGAAGCCACCACCAACAGTCGCAACTCTTCCCTCTTTCTTGAAAGGCTGAAAGACGCCAGGCTTGGTGTGTTGTGCAATGTTGCTGGCAAAGTCTCCTTCGACCATGTCAGAAATCACCTTCTTGCCGGTTCCGGATAATGTTTAATTAGTCAAATGAAAGCTTCTAAGGCCCTCTACGTCCCCTTAGTGAGTTACTTCTAGCTACAGTTGTAATTGGTATAGTTACTCCGAACCTCCAAGTTGTCCAGCCGGCGCTTGGTACAGACTGGCCAGGCCACACTGAGAATCAACATCAAAGCAAGTCGGAGCATCCTTTCTCACAACGTTTGGCAAACAAGCAAGGAGCTTAGCAGCTGGAGATCACGGTGGAAGCATGCAGTTTGCCGCGCACGCAGACTTCATTCAATAGTTAAGGTCAAAAAATCGAGGGCCCTGCCACGTAAGTGAAAGATACTGGGCACAAAGGCTTACATCACGCAGTTGTTTCAGCCGTGATGATGCTGGTTGGAAAGAGTATGGTGAGTGCTGCCATTATTACTGGAAATTGCAAACTTTTAGGCTCTGGGAGCACTTCTTACACGTTTAATGTCCGGGTAGTTTCATTGCAATAGTTCCCTTGGACTGCAATTTCGGCAACTCAGCAGCAGCAGAAGACGTCTTGCCCACAATTGCAGATGAATTGGACCATACCAGGCTGCTGATACGTTCCGTCACCACTGAGCTCCCATACGCAAGCGCGCAGAGGGCACCGAGCAGCGTTAGTGAGGCACTCCAAAGTACTTGGTTTTATGCCAGAGACAAAGGACCAAGCTGGCACGCGGTAGTCAGCAGGCACTCAGCCCACAATTCTTCTTCCACACTTGAAAAGTGGATAGGGGATCTTAAGCAACCAGTCAAAGGCGTTAACAAGAAGCAAGAGACAGTTGGTGGTTGGTGGGTGATGAGCCTGTCGCTGGAACGGGCCCTTGGCAGGAACAATGCCTTGAATGGAAACCGCCATTCAGTGGAACAAGCCTTAGTGGGGAACAGACCCTTCAAAATTGTCACAGGCCCCCGGAAACAACCCCTGGCTGGAAACAGCCCCCTGCTGGAAACAGCCCCTGGCCGGAGACAAGGAAACGACCCCTTCTTGGAAACCAAATACATAAACCCGCCCCGGAAACACAAACTCTTCCCCTCTGCGATCCCTCACAAGGGTACTAAGCTGGGGCCACCGTCTCAGAGA